ACCTGCAAGTGAGCATCCAACATCCGTTAATTCGAGGAAACTGACGGTGGATGCATTGATTGTCAAGGCACATGTACATCAGTGGTCTCTATTCTCTGCCCAGGGCAACGGGGCTCCGCAAAAGAACGAGTCCATCATTGTCTAAGCCGTTGTCCATTGTGAATGTTGTAGCCGCAGTCGGCACCATGGCTATTACCGTCATGGTGCCGACCGTCGTTGCGCCTGCCGACACGCCCCGCCGCTGCCAGTGGACGTGGTGGAGGTGCAGGGGCGGCCTCGACCCCTGCCTGTCAAGGCCGCCCCGTCCCCCAGCGCCCGTCGTGCCGTCCTTCACAGCCCCCCTTACCTTCCCCGGGAGGGACAGCCGCGCGAACTGAGAAAGGCATCGCCACCCACCATCGTTCCCGGACCAGGAGAGCTGGGCTCGCCCTCGTACGCGCCGTCCTCAGCCTGGGGTGGCTAAGCCGACCCTCCTACCCTCCATGCCCCAGCCTGGGATAGCCTTGACTATCCTCCCGTCCTCCGTCTTCAACCTGGGGCAGCTGGGCACTGCCAGCCCACCTTCTGTCCCCAGCCTGGCATTGCTGGAGCCACCTTCCCGCCCTCCGTCTCCAGCCTAGGATGGTTAGGACCACTTTCCCACCCTTCGTCCCCAGCCTGGGACGGCTGGGACCTGCCGCGGGCCCTGCTCCCAGCCTGGGATGGCTGGCGCCAGCCCGGAGCCCGGCTCCCAGCCTGGGATGGCTGGCACCGGTCCCGGGCCTTGCTCCCAGCCTGGGACGGCTGGGACCTGCCCTGGGCCCTGCTCCCAGCCTGGGATGGCTGGCACCGGCCCTGGGCCCGGCTCCCAGCCTGGGATGGCTGGCACCGGCACTAGGCCCTGCTCCCAGCCTGGGACGGCTGGCACCGGCACTAGGCCCTGCTGCCAGCCTGGGACGGCTGGCACCGGCCCTGGGCCCGGCTCCCAGCGTCCGCGGTCGTCCAGTCAGCTGACGCCCACGCCAGCCGCTCTTTTCCGGCCGGCTGGTGGGAGCCAGGCGGCGAGGGACACTTGTCGCGCTTGGCTGAGCACCGCCGTCCGTGGCGTCGCTGTCGTAGATGCCGGTAGGGCATGCCATTATTCCTGCCGGATTACGGTGCCGCGGCCGTCCCGGTGTTTATTTATGGCGTCAAAACGAGAACATATGCTCTCCGGTGCGCTGACCACACTCCGGAAAGCGTTTATGTGATGATGATTGCCTGGGCGCTCTGTGGGTATTCACACAAAGCACCGCGGCCGTCGCTTTGTGTAAGTGATTGGGTGCGGGTGATCGGCGAGGACCTGAACATCCAACCTCTCCCCAAATGTTTGTTGCCAGCGGATTTGGCTCACTTCCCTTTGTCTCATATCTGTCCCATTCTTCTACCTATTGGGGCCGGTATTTGTATTGTTGCTATTTCTATTCCTGGTTAAAACTGGCAAAAACATGAATGGACAGCATCACTTACCATCATAACTCTAGAGAGTTCAAGATGTCCGTAGCCTGTGCCATGGCGATGATAGACGCCCGCTAACCCCCCTCAACCCCCCCCCTTACCCCCCTCACCCCCCTCCCCCTCACCCCCCTCACCCCCCCCCTCACCACCCCCTCCCCCTCACCCCCCCTCACGCCCCCCCTCACCCCCCCAGAATTAGCTTACCACAGCCGCTTCATCCTGGACATTCCGTCCTTGGTTCTGCATAATCTAGATATCTTACCGACGTCACACGTATCTACTTAATGGTGCCGGAAATGCGCCTTGAGTGGCAAATACGTAGTGGCTGGTGAGCAAAAACATCAACGATGATGAGAGCCAGTGCAATGGAATTCTGCAGTCCTGAGTGAAGCTTGCAGCTCTCTGGACTGACGAATTCAGTGTATCGAAGTCAAAGGGAAGCGTACAGAGGGCTAAAATGTGGGAGTCCAAGTAACGCTTACTGAAAATACTGAAATGGTGCGAACTGAGGCCAAATGAAAGTTTGGGGTTATATGTGAGTAAGTTAGTCAGCAGGGGCATATTCCAAATAAGACCTGAAAGCAGGACGTGATGGAAAATGGCCATGGAGCAACCGTCTTATTTTAGGGGAGAGTGGCCATAGCCATGAAATGATTATAAAGAACAGCAAGCTTTGCGGGATGTTACAAATATCCGTATGTTTGTCATATTTTGGTAAGAAATGCGCCTGGCCGAAGCAAATGTTTTGGGAGCCGAAATTAACGCGGGGCTCACAAAAAATGCAGATCGACACCCACGTGAAGCCCGTTTTCGAAAGCCCATGACGCGCTCCTCCCATGAACGTGCGAAGCATGCAGGTACGGCCTGCCGAAGAGCCCCTCGTCTAGCGGCTGCAGTGGCGCTGGAGCTGCAGCTGAGAAGCTGTGACCCAGCATCGGTCGGCAGGTGCTGGGCCACGATACCGCGAACAGTGCCCGGCTTACGTCAGTCCGATGGCCCAGAGCGGCCGGGTGCCAACAGGCGCTGTTATCGCCTGCAGTATGGCGGGGAGATAGGTATGAAGTTCAGCGCACTGGTCCTGGCGGGCTGGAGCCGCGCCAGCGGCGGCTGGGATGCCACCCAGAGAGGTGTGGCAAAGAGACGAGGGCCAATGTCATGGCTGAATGGCAGGTGACGGCCGTACCGTTCAGCAGACGTGAGCCATCTCGAAGATCTTCGTGACTTGGCGCACCCGTGCTCACATTAGTTCGCGTCTGAGAACGCCAGATGGCGCGTCTGACGCCGGAAAACCCCGGGACAGTCGTGACCAATTCGTCGGCCGCTTTTTTATTGACCCGACGAACCTAAAGCCAAATGCGGGGCGGAGGCAGGGGCGGGGGCGGGGCTGGAGATGTCGGTCATCTATGAAGTGACGCCCGAGGTGGTGACGCGCCGGCGGCGTTGGGAGTCTCAACGTCGAGATGAACTTTGTGTGAATGTTGGTTCCAGCGTTATCCGGTTTAGATTCAGCTCATGGCACTAACAGAGATGAAACCACGGGACGTGTGCAGGAAATGTGTGAAATTTAATCGCGATGAACGGTGATCTACCACAGTGACAGGGATGCCCCCTGCACGATGCATCAAAATAGTCCCCCTCAAAAAGCCCTGTATTGAAGTGAACACCGCCTGGTTTCGTTCGCGCCTGCCCGTTCTGCGAGCCCTGCCCAGACGAGCTGTGCACGAGTCGAACGCAGCGGTCCATATCGGAGCTCGGTGGCCCGCTGCACGGGCGGCGGTCGGCCCGCTACCTGACCCGAGGTCAGGCGGAGCCGCGCGGCAGCTGGCGCGTCGCTGTCCTCCCCCGCGGAACGGGTCCGGCGCGGGCTGCGCTGTCCGACAGAGGCGGCAGCGGGCTGAACAGGGGAGAAGTCACAGGCTGGGTGGGGTGCAGCGCGCCAATCTCGTACGCGGCGGCGGTTGGGGTAGCAAGCGAGCGTGAGAGAAGCTGTCCGAGATAAGGGGGCTCAGAGGCTCTGTTAATCTTTGTTTTGTCATGCAACGCCGTAACCTTTGTGCTAAACTATGCCAAACGTGTGGGTCCCAAGCCCCCAAAAGTCCACTATGACGTCATAGCTCCCGTGCCTGTGGTTGCACGCCACATAAGACGCTCCCATGGAATACACGGCATCTGGCTCCGCGCCTGACGCCGCGGGCGGTGACGGGGTGCGGGTGGAATAGTGTGCGGGTGGAATGGTGTGCGGGTGGAATGGTGTGCGAGTGGAATGGTGTGCGAGTGGAATGGTGTGCGGGTAGAACGGTTTGGAATGTCCGCCGGCTTCTGCGCCGCGACTGACAACGGGTAGCCCTCAGAGTGGAGCGTTCGCCGGCTGCAGCGCACGCCGATGTAGACCGGCAGCTGCGGAACGAAGCTGGGCCATCCCGCCGCCTCCGTGCAGATTGCTCCCGCGTACGCAGTTAAGGCGTGGATGGTCACTCCGATTACGCTGCAAACGTGGGTGCCCACTCTGGTTGCACTCGAAGCGTAGATGGTCACTCAGATTATGCGAGACTGGAGCACGTCGAGCCAGCGTCGGCCGTGCCCGCCTGCGATGCGGCACCTCTCCGCGCTGCTACCGTCGTGCGGACCGTGCTCTGCCCTGGAGCTGCCGCTGGAACCACTGGAGCTGCCGCCATCCGCGCGTTGTCACGCTCATTCGCGAGCCACCGCCGGGAGTGTCGGGGTCACTGTACACTGGGGATGCTCGAGGGCTTAGTATGGATATGTTTTAGTAGTGCGATGGGTAATTTACGTTTGCGCCCATTTTGGTCTACGAAGGATTGCATGCATTGCAACGATTGCAAGGATTGCAAGGTTGGGTCGGTCAGGGAAAGATATTGCGATGCTGCTATTATTTTACTCGCTTTACTTTTCTTTCCTCTATCACACCTAGTTTCTGTGCTGTCAAGACAGATGTGCCCTCTCCCGTTCTGACGCTGCCACGAGAGATGAGCCGTTGTGACGCTGTGAGGACAGGTGCGCCCTCTCCGTTGTGACGCTGCCAGGACGGATGTGCCCTCTCCGCTGTGACTCTGTGAGGACGATGTGCGCTCTCCCGTTGTGACGCTGTCAGGACAGATGTGCCCTCTCCGCTGTGACGCTGTGAGGACGATGTGCGCTCTCCCGTTGTGACGCTGTCGGGATGATGTGCCTATCCCGTTGTGACGCTGCCACGACAGATGTGCCCTCTGGCGCCGTGACGCTGTCGGGACAGATGTGCCTCTCCCGTTGTGACGCTGTCGGGATTGATATGCCTCTCCCGTTGTGACGCGGTCGGGACAGATGTGCCCTCTCCCGTTGTGACGCTCTCGGGACTGCTGTGCCTCTGCCGTTGTGACGCGGTCTGGACAGGCGTGCCCTCTCCCGTTGTGACGCTCTCGGGATTGCTGTGCCTCTGCCGTTGTGACGCTTTCAGGACAGTGTGCCGTCTCCCGTTGTGGCGCTGTCGGGACCCGCCCGTGACCAGGCGTCCCCTGCCGTTCCAGGCTGGCTGTTCGGACTGCTGGACGGACGCCAGGGCACCTTCCCCAGCCAGTTTGTGGTGCCCGTCGGCAAGAACACGTCCCGGTCGCAGAGCAAGGTAGGTCTCTCCGCCTCGGCGGCGCATGGGGCCGGCAGACTGGTCCGCTCACGTG